TTATCAATATCAATCCTATAGTGATGCGAGCATTGGAAGAATCTAAGCATCGCGGCCTTTTTCGATTTTATTCTCCAAAAATAGTTAAAATGTATCTTAAACAAAATAAATCTAGGTTACTGGATCTGCGTCGAGAGGAAATATTAAATTTGCTTGATTATATACTTAGAGATAAGGACATTGAAGGATTGCACGAACTTCGGATGATGCCGTTAGCAGATGGCACATTAGGAATGATCTCACGACATGATAAAGATGATTCATATATTTTTCCCGATATTCGGGAAGAAATCGGTCATGATGAATATAAAATTTTCTTTAAAGATTTAGGAAAATTTATTGATAATTCTATTCCTAGTACTTTATGGAATCTTTTATATGAGGGAGCAGTAAATAAGTGGAATCTTAATGTTAAGATACTAACTACATCGGTTGTAGCCGATTTGATCAAGAAAAACTTAGAAGGATACTCTGCTGAATCCGATGAGATAGAATTAAAAAATCAACGTGAATGGGTTTATCATATTTGGGACAACTTAACGAAAAGAGAATATGATCTAAAATATTTTGAGTCTATTCATCTTATCCCAACAAATCGAGGAACGCTAAGAAAAATAAAGACGAATGAAAGATGTTTTTGGAATACTTACGATGATAAACTTGACAGCAAAATAAAATCGATTATGGAAAATTTTGGTGCTGTGTTTGTTGACAAAGAATTCGAAAGGCATTCGTTGCACACCTGGCAGAAGTAAGCAGATATCATTATGACTTTTAGTAACAAGATTATTGCTCATTAATTATTTCTTTTTAGGCTATCTTCCTATGTAGTTAATCTTGCCGAACTACCGTTAGTTTTATCTTGCCTTCATAAAATAAGTTCGTATCCGAAAAATTTAAAACTTCGTTTGCAAACCGAAGAAGTTTTAGAAATAATGGAATACTTAAATTCTCATCTTCAAATTGAAAATTTACATGACAAGTATTCTGGACTAAAGACGATACTGGTTGATGTGATAAAAGATCTTCCTATATTTTCGGAAAGCGATCGTGGAGGATTGATTTCTTTCCATGGAAATAAAAGATGGGTTTTGGTGGGGAAATTATTCGATCATCTGGGAAGTCTTCTCCTTGTTGATCCTGCTTTAAAGGTCAAATTAAGTCAGGTTCCCTTCGTTACTTCCGATACATACAAAATGTCGATAAACCGTCACGATCCGGATACATGTGTTAATCGCAGACCTGTTGATTTGTATAATCCAGAGGACCGAAAAATCGCCTGTTTATTTTTTGAGTATGAAAGAGTTTTCCCGAGTGGAAACTTCACTGGTTCCTCAAAAAGGATGGAATTTCTTAAAGAATTGGGTCTTAAAACGTATCTCACACACGATGACATTATTAATCGGTTAAATACGATAATATCTTATAAAAATAAGGACAATAATCCCGAATTATTTGATGCGGCGCATACGAAGGCCATGAAGCTTCTTAAATACATAGATAATAATTGGAAATTTTTATTTGAGAACTCACACAAAAACGAGCAATTTTTTGATAAAATTTTATCCAATGAATGGATCCCAACTATTGACCATTTGGGTAAAAAACATTTCTCAAAACCTACAAATTGCAGAGATTTGGAAAATAAATATTTGATTGGTTATGTCATGCCCATTCTTGATTACAGAATAAAGAAAAAAAAATTTTTTAAATTATTTGGGTGGGATAAAAATCCGGATATTGAATTAATTATTCACCAACTTTGGATATGTTCGCAACGTCCAAAAGAAATTTTAGAAATATATGATATCTGCAAGGCAATATACGACCACATGAATGGGATAGTGACTAAATCGGTTCAGGAAGATGAGATCAATAAATTAAAAGAAAAACTTAAAGACATGAAATGGATTATGATTAATAGACAATTCTACTCGTCTGCGAATGTTGCCTTTGACCTTTCAAGAGACTTCGGAAATAGAGACACATTAATCGTAGGACTTCCCGACGAATATAAACTAAATTATGAAGAGCTGTTTAAAAGGATGGGGGTCCGTTTAAAACCTGGAATTCTAGAATATATTGACATTATTAAGGCGTATTCTAAAGACAATACCGATGTCAAATTATCGATTGCTGAGATAAGTAGAGTAACAGAATTAATTGATTGGATTTCGAAGGAATATTCTGAAGACGGCTCTATGAGAATATTACAAGAGTTACTCGTACCAACTACACATGAAATCCTGATAAATTTAAGTGAAGTCCAATATGATGATATGGGCATGGAGTTAACAGACGAAGAGAAAAATCAGTATCATATTGCACACTCTTCGATATCGTTAAACGTAGCAAAAAATATCGGGATGAATATGTTATCCACAAAACTCATAGATGGTTTGTAATAATTATTTACTATATTCTATAAATGCAAAAAATAATCTTTCTTCAACTGACATTTCTCTTATGCATCAGTAAATAATGTTGATGATTTTATGCCGGAATTATATGAACAAAAAGAAGATATTACTACTAGAATCAAACACATTATAAATGTGAGTAATATATAGTCTTAATGTGATATTTCCCGGTAACAGTAATACCTATTAGTGAGAACTTCATTAATTTCTTTAGGATTATTTACCTGAAGCTGTATTCAAAGAATTTTTACAGGTATTTGACTTTTAAAATATATTCTTATTTTGATGTTGGTACTTATTCTTTTTTTTAGAATGCGGATGATGCGGGAGCTCGCATATTTAAGTTATATATAGACAAAAGAGACTTTAGAGGAAAGAATAAATCAAGTCTTCTGACCGACGAAATAGATTGTTGGCAAGGTCCTGCCTTGTGGATTTACAACGATGCAATATTTAAAGACGAAGATTTTAAATCATTACTTAAACTCGGAAGTGGAAATAAATTGTCTCACAAGTCGAAAATCGGCCGCTTCGGAATTGGATTCAACTCGGCATTCAACTTTACCGATCTTCCTAGCTTTGTGAGTGGAGAACATATTGCATTTTTAGATCCCCATTCCGTCTATCTTCCCAAACTGGGTTATCCGCCGAGAAATCCTCTCGGAAACCGATATAATTTTGTAAAATCAAACTTTAATGAGAAATTGTACGGCCAAGCCGAACCATATCTATCCATAGAAGGATGTGATTTAACGACAAAGTATCACGGTACCTTGTTTAGAATTCCTCTGAGGAGTAGTGAGACGGCCGATTTTAGTAAAATATCCAATAAAATATTTAATCCTGATGACCTTAAAAACCTATTTAAGGCTATATTGGGAAACGGAGATTTGTTATTTTTAAGAAACGTCGAAGAATGTAGTTTACATTATCTAGATTTGAATGGCACACAATCAGAAACCATATGGAAAACTAAAATTAATAACATAGACGAAAATATAAGGAATATGCGTTGTTCAATTACAAACGAGGCAAAAATATTTCAACTTTATATTGAAACGCAAGTATTCAGTCCTGAAAATGGAAGTCAATCTACCATTAACGAACCCACTACTGAAAAAAAAATTGAGATCCTTGAGCAATGGCTCTTATGTTCTGGTGGGAACGAAAATATTATTGAAGAATTGAAATTATTTTCGGATGCGAAAAAATTATTTGTGCGTAACATTTTCTTACTATTGAAACTCGCGTTGTTGTTTTATTTATTTATTTATTGTGATATATACGTTTTTTATTATTATAGCCTAGAGGTGGTGTTGCTGCATTGATTGCGCAGACAAAAGAAGACAACAAAGTATAAAATCATTGACCAGGTTATTATTTTTATTAACTTATATTTATAAACTTTATTTCTTATTCTATAGGTAAATTACTTGACGAATATAAGAGGTGAAATGTATTCATATTTGCCTCTCCTAATAAGAAATAATTTAAGTGTTATGTTGAATGGAGATTTTTTCCTCTCGAGTGATCGAAGAAATATTTTATTATCTGAAGATGATTCTGAAAATAAAGAAGTAAAATGGAATAGATACATATTATTAGAGGTTTTGCCACCACTGCATGCTACTCTACTCAACGAAATTGCGATTCTTGATTCTCAACGGTTAGAAAATATGCGCAAAGATCAAAGAGAAAAGTTCACACCATATACGATGACTCGAGATTGGCCAATTGTCACCAATTCATCAGGGATTTATAGAATGTATGGAATAACTGTACTACAACAACTTGCCCGAAATAATTATAGCGTATTTTGGACAGAAGCAAATAGTGGCGAATTTATTTCATTTTTTAATGCTGTTTTTGCAGAAAAAGAAAAAGAAACGATTATCAATGAAATTCTCATACAGCAAGACACTAAAATTGTCAAGTTATCTAAAGAACAATATGAACATATTCGACTTTTAACGTCAGAAAAAAATTCTGTATATCCAAGCTTTATTGATCGCGATTTGATTTGTAGAAAATTCCGTGATAAAAATAGAATATGGGATTCCTATACAAGACCTGCGGATCGAAAAGATGTAAGAAGAGCTATTAATTATTTATTGAATCTTATTCTGGAAGATGCAATCCCTCAGGATATAAGATCATACGAGAGATTAATTGGGCTACCTTTGGTTCCTCTTTGCGGTGGCACCGTCGGAACATTCTGTGAAAAGGAGTACTATATAGCAGATGAAAATCAACGGAAATTGTTTAATAAGACGAAATCATCTCACTTTATAAGCGAGTTGCCAATCAATCTCAAAACTAATATGGAAGTTTTGAAATTGTTGAAAATTTACAATCTCAATGCAAAGGGTATTATCAAGCTTCTCGAAATTGAACTTCCCGAAAAAGAAAAAATAGAATGGGATCCCTCGGGAAATTTATATCCAAATAAAGAATGGATTGATCAAATATTAAAAAGTTTTGACAAAGAATCAGATTTTGAATTCAATAAGTTTGCAAGATATCCACTTCTTCCGATGATTCTTCCGCGTAAACAGCTAATTCAATTTGATAAATCGAATCCATTATTATTCCGGGGAAATCTTGATGATTCAGTGACTTATATACTTAGTGAATTAGGAATTGGATTTACTGATCTAGTATTATCTGGTACAGCCCATCCAACGCTTAAGGAGTGTATAATTCAACCGACTAAGAAGAATATATATAAATCGATCGCGCAAACGATGTCCTACTCTCGAAAATCATTGGAGCAAGTTTTTAAGCAGCTAACTCAAAGTGATGTTAAAAAGTTTCGAATATTTGTTAATCATATTTTAGGTAACATCGAGCGTACTCTTTATTTTCCGTTCATTCTCATCCTTTTTGTTTTATTCATACGTTATACTTTATTAATAGAAGGAGACGAATCAAGCTTGGAAACCCCAACTCAAGTTTTGGAAGTCATCCGAGATTTTCCGATTTGGCCTGTATACTCTTCCGACGATTTTATCGCTGCCCATGAAGGGTGTCTCCTAAAATCAAGGCTAAAGATTTATTCATTACCTGAAATGAAAATTTTTCGTATTGAATCTGACACGGATTATAACTCACTCAAATACCTTAAATCAAGGTGTATTGATGAACTAGAATATATAACCTATTATTATTATTATACTGAAATTAGACTCGATAGTAAATATATAGAATTTCTAAAGCGCGTACTTTTACTGGGAAATAATGAGATTGAAAATCATTTATGTAAACTTGAAGTCATACCTAACAAAAATCACACCATGGTTTCCAAGGTCAATGAGCTATACGATGTCAACGTACCTTTGTTTCGAGACATTTTTGGAAATACAAATAAGTTTTTACCGTTAGAATTTCAAGAGAATCCAGCCATATTGAACACCCTAGGAAGGATGGGGCTCAAAAGACGCGTTGATTCCCATACATTTCTTGAATGCGCCCGTGAAATTGAAGACAAGGCTCGTGAAACTACTGAAATAACTGTCGTCAAACAATTGGCTAAAACATTGATGATGAAATTATTTTCATGTTACGAAGAACTTCAATTTGATTCAAATCAATGGAAGGAACTTATGATCATTAATTTTGTTCCCACTGACACGAATATACCAAAACATTATGAGATACACAAGAACGAAATAGTCGCTTTAAACTCTGTCTGCTTTTATAAGTATAAAAATTTGGTATGGACTCAAGTTCCATTGCTCGATAGATTTTTTGATCCACCTCAACAATTATTGATTGATTGCCCCAACATATGTAAGCCCGAATTGCGGATAGTTATTGATCATTGGTACGAAGTCGCACTAAAATCATCAAAATCTTTAAACGCTAATTGGAGATCATACGAAGGACAAAAACAATTTGTCGATATGATGAAAGAAATTTACGAATATTTGAACTCGCAAATAGATGATCTAAATCAAGAATATATCAGGTCGAGAATATTTGTAGAAGAAAATTTATTCTTAAATGATGAAGATTATCCGTTCGAATCAGAAAGTTGGGTATCAGGATCTAGCTTATTCTTGGGTATTTCTAAAGATATTGATCAAGGTTTGCGCAAGGTCTCTCCATTTCTAGAAAAATATAAGACCCTGCTAAATTTAGCAGGTGCTAGAGAACTAAAAATTGTTGAGAAAAAAGTAAAACTGATAGATCACGATCAGAAGGCATTTTTATTGGACAATATGCTTAAGCTTTTTATGGGACAAGAAAGATCTAAGCATCATGATGTGGAATTTATATTCCCAAACAATGAAAAAATCTACGCAAATCGTTATGTTCTTTCGGGTATGTCACTTTGCTTAATGTGCATCGTGTAATTATTCGCGTCATTAATCATATTAATTTTAAACGATAGCTGCAGCAGAACACTTTAAAAATTCTTTCTGTGGAGACATGAACGAATCTAATGAATTTAAAAGGGTATCTGTAGAAATTGACTATTGTGAGTCCGATGCATTTCGGGTTTTCATTTGTTGGCTATATGGTCAATCCTTCGAAGCATTAAAGGCTGTGATCGTGGATCAAGATGATTACTTGCAATTGTTAATTGAATTGCTTAAAGCTTCTAACGCATATATGATTCTTCCACTTAAAGCTATTTTAGAAAAAACAATTATAGACGAAATTAGCGTGGATAATGTGATAGAAATTAAAAAATGGGCAGATGAATGTGAAGCAGATCAATTGAAGGAGCATTTTAAGAGATATATTGAAGTGAATGGGGAATTAGTAGTAAAAATTAGACAAAAAGATATGGATAATATCAAAGATGAAGAAGAAAGAGAGCTAGATAAAGAAATGTTGGAAGACTTAATTGAGGAAATAAATAAACAATGATTTGATACTGTGTTTATTTACTTTACTTTCGATTTATTAGAGGAAATTAAAATACAACTACGATTAATTTTTACTACACAACCATAATGGTTTTTTCATACGCCTTTGAAGTCATGAATTTTAAAGACATGTGAGTATAAAAAATCATAGTCATTACCGTTTTAATTATTTGAAATTTCAATTACAACTTTGTTATAATAATAATATACAATATTTTTAAATATGACCTTATTATCAAATAAATTCTTTCGAAATTTATATCGCATTTTTATTATTTGCTAATTATAAATAATTTGATGAAGAATAATAAGTCATTTAGTTTAAATTATATTGTTTTGACTATTAAACTATTATTAACATGATTGGAATTTATGATTATAATTACTCTAAACATATCTCCCAAAATATAATTCCATGATTTCTACGTATAATACTTACTCAAAATTACATGCCGAGCCCTCAAATTAATAAATAGAGTCAGTCTGTTAAAAGAATATTTGTCACATTAAATTAACTATGCGGCAATTTATAACTTACGAATTCATTTTTGAACACTTCTACTTTGTTCTTTTGTTTTTTTGCTTCCTTTGAAGCTAAGTCTGCGTAATGAAGTAAGTCTTTAGAAGAATTTATGGCCAAATTTAAAGATGCAACCCCGATACTAAGTGTAATAGATAAAGATCTATCATTAACAAATACTTTATGTTCAACAGAAGCTCTTATTTTTTCGGCGATATCGAATGCTGATTTGGAGTCGGCATTTTTAAGAAGGATTGTGAACTCATCTCCACCAAACCGTGAAAAATTATATTCCAAACCAGCACATACTTCTTTAATTAAACCGGTTAATTCCTTTAAAACCTGATCTGCTACTATGTGATCTTTTTCTTCATTAATTTTTTTAAAGTTATCTACATCAAAAAATATTAAGCTCAATTCTAATTTCTCTTTTTTCGCTCGTTTAAACGCCGCTTCCAACGTTTTCATTAAGTAACTTAGATTGAATATCTGTAATTTAGGATCCAGACGATTTTCGTATTCCCCAGCAGGATAATAACAAAAAGCACACACTCCCATCTTAATTTCATCTCCTTTTTTTAAAGAACGAGGTAAATGAGGTGTAAGTTTTTCACGATTAATTAAGGTTCCTGACGAATTGAGATCTTTGATTGAGAATTGGCCGTTATCATGCTTTATCACTGCATGAAATTGAGAGACATCTTGGTGTCGGATACTAATATCGTTTAAAGATTTTCTTCCAATTTTTGTTTCGTACTGATTAAGAAAAAAGCATTCATTTTGACGATGACCGCTAATAACTTCCAAAAATGCTCCGTAATTTCCTTCATTTTTTTTCGCATTTTGCCTCAAAGAAATTTCTGGATCGTATGCTAAATCCATGTAAACAGTGGAATCTTCTATATTATCAAGTGATTGAATTATATATTCAATTGAGGGCCTTTTTTCCTGTTCTGTGTTCCATGCATCATTATAAATATCTATATAATCTACAGGGGTCCCATTGACGGGACGTTTTTTACGATCTGTGTTGAATTTCGTAGAATCCCTTGATATTTCCCATAATATCACACCTAGGCTATAAATATCCGATGATTTATTTATGCGTGAAGCTTTTGCAAGATATTTCGGATCCACGTATGCTTTCGTTTCATGATCAATTTCCTCGATAGGTTTGATATATGGACTATATCCCGTAATTATCAACTTGCCATCGTGAAAAAGAATGGTTTGAGCAGTCTATTTTTTGAAATATATATATATGAATAAATTAATTATTATAACAAATTTATTTAATTACTTTTCTTTTTATTATACATACTATAAACGAGTTAACAGTACTTACCAAATTTCCGTGAAAAAGATCTACATCATGAATGCGCTTCAATCCTTTCGCGATATCCTTCGCCATTTTTATTTTTGTACTCCAGTCTAATTTGCCACAATTTTCTCGCAAATAAGTTGTAAGGTTTTTTTCACCAATATACTTAAAAACCATAAAATATTTATCTGCAGGATCTGGGAAATAATTTATAAATAGTTTGGCATATTAATATCCATTATGATAATTTAGGTTGTATTCTTAATACATATAAAAATTTTTTCTGTCGCCTGGATATAAACCAGTAATTACAGGCCACTGCCTTACAAATAGCTTCCTTATGGTAGCATAACGAATAATTTGAATTATTATAATTCACATCCAAAACATAGATTCAATAGGTACCTTTTCCAACGCCCATAAACCTTATTAAATTTTCATTATGATCAATCTTTATTAAATTCCGTATCTACGAATGTGAATAATTTGATTAACTAATCATATTAGTAGACTACGTATTCATAATTTTTGCAATTACCTTAGAAAAATTATTACAATATTCATCTTCTTCCACATATTCGAATAATACCATTTCGTCATTATTTTTTATATAAGCACTTTTTGCTGTCTCATTTATAACATTTATATTAGTAAATGAACAGTATTTAAATGATTTAATCCAACTTTCTTCAATAATTTTCTCTAGATCCACAGTATCCCTGTTATTTTCATGCAGATAATTTGAACTGTCGTTATCGGAAGTTTCGACCAAAGAATCTATACATTCTTGATTTTTTCTTATCTCGGGTATGAAATAAAAACAGCAAGAATTTTCTTCGGGAGAATTATTCCTGGCAAAGCATTCTTTCTCTTCGCATTCACACTCCAGTTTTTCGCAAAGAACTTTAGCAATATTTTGACAAGTAAAATTATATGAGCATCTATCTTGATTTTCTGAAAGTAAGCTAATGAACATTAAGTTGCTGCGGAACATCTGCCTCACCGAAGGGTTGCTCTCTTTTTTTCTAAAATTGTATTTTCCGTAAGTCTCAATTTTTGAGCATTCCTGTATGCCCATTACATTAATCGTAATTTTAGAAAATCCGTGATATTTTGAATTTTCTAAGCAATACCCAAAGACGCGTGCACCAATTTTATTGTCTTTGTATAGAAAAAATTCATATCCTATAATTGAGGCCATCTCAGAAGGTACAAAGCTATCTGTCTCAATGGTTCCCGTAAAAGTACAATCAGAAATTCTTTCAAATAATCCAGGCTTAATATTCTCAAATTCAGTGTCTAAAATCTTTATGGCAAAAGATTGGTTGTTTTGTGGTGTAATATTGCTATTAAATGAAAATAGTCGTAATTCTTTGTTCATCCCATCGTTTAAGCTTTTAACCATCTCAATAACATCAGGACAATGACCAACCACCATCCAACCTATCTTTAAATGACGATTAAGTTTTTTTTCTTTAGATTTAGCACAATGAACTATTATTTTTGTAGATTTTCCAGGAAGTTTGCGAAAAAGTCGAAAAGTAAGAATATCACTTTCATCAGTCATATTAACTAATGTTGCAAATACTTGAAAATCCGTGAAATTCGTGAAATTCGTGATATTCTCAGGAAATATCTCCCGTGGGATATCAAGAACTCTAACTGCATGATTTGTAGTTTCTCTAAATCTAAAAATCTCGTTTACGGAGTTTTTATAAAGAATTATCTTTCCTCTCGCCTTAATTAATTTGTTTTGCAACTCTTCATCTAGCAATTTTAATATACCGCATATATCTTTATAATCTACAGGTTGCCACTTTGCAGGATCATTAAGCGAATCGTTCCAAGCGTTCATATCAGGATGAAATCTCAAATATTCTGTGTTTCCACCATATATATGTGATATATTTCCATTCCTACGATCTATTCTTCCTCCAAATTGAATAGTTTTCGGTGTAAAAGTACCATACCTTTCTTCTATTTCTTTAAGTACCCTATAATCTTTGGATTCAATAAATTCATCCAATGCATTCTTAAAATCTGGCATAATTTTAACATCGGTAATAGACATTTGTAATTTACAGATCTTTTCATATTTGTATGATAAATGTTCGCATTTACTGAATTCTGAATAATCTGATTTTTTACAAAATTTTTCGAAAATACTTTTATCGCCGGAAACGCAAATTAAATCTAGTTTCAAATTTTTATCTTTAGGGATTTCATACTCTCCCTCGTCATATTCCACACGTGGGTCTTCTAATTTACAATTTATTATTTCAAATGCTTTCATTTTAGCTTTCTGGAGAATAAAATCGAAAAAGGCCGCGATGCTTAGATTCTTCCAATGCTCGCATCACTATAGGATTGATATTGATAA